TCTCTCTCTCTCTCTCTCTCTCTCTCTCCTTAATTCGAATTCATTTCAATAAATATCATCTTTATTTCACTAAAGAATTCTACCTCTAACGAATTGTAGATAAAATAGTCTAACAAATTAAAATTACCGTTATTTTCCGGTCTTTATCCGTTCAGTCAGATTTTGTGCTGCAAAACATCCATGACAGCCGTTGTCCATGCTGGCAAATAATAATGGCCATTCGACGTGAATTATATAAATAATTGTAACGGCCATTTAAAACCCGAGGGTCTATGTGCATATTAAAGCGATCACTGCAGACAATCCTTTTGGGTGGGAATTAATGTAAACACAGATATCGGATACCAGTCATGTCTAAAGTGAATGTAAACAGACGTGCCAAAAAAATCGGATATGGTCAAAAGATCGGATCTGTGCATTAAGACTTGCAGTGTAAACGCAGCCTAAGTCACTCTCATGTACCGGTTTAGTAACCACAGTATTGATTGCTGTTGACAAAAAAACAGGTTTCTCAAAATATCTTGTTTTGCGTTTCACAGAAAAAGGAAAGCCATACAGTAAATTATGATAGAATTTTCATTTTTGGTGAACAATCCGGTTACATTTTTTTTTAGCATTTATTGTGGGACAACTGGATTTATGTTGATGTTTGATGACCTTCATCATTGGGAATATCAGTGTTGAAAATCAACTGATTTTGCTCTTTTGTTTTAAAAGTTTTTTTTTTCTCTCTGTAATGCAGCATAGAAACATCACATCCGATGGGCAATTCAGAATCTTGTTGGAAGCAGTAGGTTATCAAGGTATTTTTCCCCTACTGATTTATGAAAACTTTACATTTTACATATTACTCATTTCATGTACAGCTTTTTGCATGCTATTTTAGTAGAGAAGTAGTCATATTTAGGTGTGGTCTACGAGTCATTTCACAGATCTGAATCGTTGATTCATAAATGAGCACATCTCCAATGTGTGTTTTCTCAGAGACTTGTTTGGAACTGTTTTCGTTGACAAAGCAAAAATGCCTTATCACCTGTTCACCACAATATAGAGATGTAATTTTTGTTGTTGTTGATGGTTTATTTTTTTATTTTATTTTTTTGTTTTGTTTGTTACAGCAGCATGTACACTAAGAGTTATAGGGAATTAAAAGCTAAAAAAAAATCTATAATTTACTCACTTTCATGTTGTTCCAAACCAGTAGGCTATATATATAT